CCAAACCCAAGCTTGTTTCACATTTTTATAACAGAATAATTTTCTCAATATACATTTTCAGGAAAAACTTACACTTTCTTATTCCATTTACTGATTTCAGGTGACATTACTTTGCTGAAACCATATGTCGACCATCTAGTTCCGTCTGGGGCTATGGAATCTTGTCAGGGCTTACTATGGCACTTGAATGATGAAAGCACTGTGGATGAAAGCTCTACACTAAGGGCCACTGAAGATCGTAATGTGACAATCTACTTTGGAAAGACATATTCAGTGACGAGTGTCAGCCTGATGACATCAAAGCAAGAGGAAACACCAACTGAATACAGTAAGTAGATTTGTTTCCTTTCTGTTCACTTTCTTTCTGATTAAATGGACTACCGCTAATCGATGGTAGAACTCCAGCCAGCCATGCCAACCTTTGACTAACAGGTGGTAAATCCGTTAAAGAAGCAAGGTTGAGTGTCAGGCTGGCGACCGCACTCTGGAAAAAACAACACTAATACTGAAAATTCAAGGACTAGGGTTCTATATTTCACTCGAAATTCAAAGGAATTTGAAAAAATAAAAATAAGAAGTTAGAGGAATTTTTCAAACTTATTTTGATTAAAAATGCGGATTAATTTATTCTCTGAGTATATATGTATTTTTTGAAATTTGGTGTTCATTTCAAAAGTCATGCCTAGCAGACAGTAGGTATTCATCGTTTTCTAAAACGACAACCACATTATTCACCACTCCGCTTTACAAGGTATAATTTCTTTTAAACATTTTTTATGAAGACAAAGGAAATAATAAAAGTTAAGTGTTCGAATACTTGCCTCTAATCAGTGTGTGTACACTTAGTTAGTTTTGATATTGTGTTGGTTTCAGAAAGTGCAGTGATTTATTGCTTGAACCAGAGCATTACAAATATTAGCTCCAGTTCAAGGCTTATAACATGCATTTAGAATAACTCACTGTTCACTTCGGGTGTATGCGAAGATATCTGATATCATCCAAGTCAAGGAACACAAGGGGATTGTATTATCTGCCTAACTTTAGTCAGTTTCAAACAATTGTTTACTCCAGAAAGCGTCATTCATCAAATGGTATTTGTTGTGTTAAGTGAACATGTATTGTGTGGAACGTTCGCCTACCAAAGCGATGTTTTACTTATTCTAATTGTTGTATCGTCAGCGTTTAAATCAATTAGCACTTAAATTATTAGACGCGCTGATGGCAGGGTGTCAGTCTACATATTTATGGTATAAGCTTCGTTTGATTTAATATCGGGTAGTGACTAGTGTCATGCGACTAGTCCTTCGTTTGATGCAGGCCGAATTCTGTCATTCAAGTCTGCATTGTAGCCACCGTGCTAGGTGGGTCGCGATCGCGATGCACTCTGAATCGTTGTTAGGTGGTTGCAGTCAGTCCGCAGGAAGTCTTGAAACTAGATTATATGCTTGTTGGCATTCATCAGCAAGGCTCATCTTCATTCTGGAAGAAAGTCACCTCCCTTCTGAGATTCGAGCTCAGGTCACCCAGGGCTGCAGTCAGAGACGTTGCCAGTGGTAACGTTCCTTAAAGATCGCAGATATACCTTGATGACGAGTGCCAATAAGAACGAAACCTAGGTTTAAGGCTTCTTATCGACTGCCACCAACCATCTAATATTGGTAAAACTTCTCAATATATATCTTTTCGATTGTATTCAGCTGTGCAATTTGGTACTCAATTGATTGAATCACTGTGAGTCAGTACTATGTAGGATATAGTCATAGTTGTTTGAGGTTTTCAACGATATAAAAGCTAGCTCTCTGTAAACAGTAAAACAACTTATTTTCGAAAACCCCTACTTTACATTTTATAACACAACCATTAGAGTGATGTTTTTTCACTTGTCCGTATTCAGGAAAAAGTCAAGGCCAGCTGCAAGTGATTAATAGTTTTTATACACTTATAGAGAAGAACAACTAGAATTTGAGACGAAAGCAAATAAGCGTAGAATTCGGGCGCTGTGGTATAGTTTAATTCCATAATACAACAATTTCATTCGATAAAACTGACAATATCATTTGCCGCTGACGTTTTGAGAGCAATTTACTTCTCATAATTGTATTAAGGCAAACGATATGATTATGAACTATGAGAAGATTAGTTTATATGCTAACTTTTGACTGTTGATCTGACCATTCTTTAACTCTCATATTAATGAATTTGTTACAGACCGATATCAAACTATGGAAGTATTATAGGCCAGAAGGTATTTGACAAATTATTCACCTCCGTTTGAAGCGCTTCAGCAGTGCGCACACACGATTAGGAATAAGGTACAAAAAGTAATCGCTAGTTACTGAAGTAGAACAAAACAGTTATCTTATTTACACAATATTTTGTATAATAAATATGGATAACGTGAATAAACGACGGAGTTTACCTAGAAATATCACGTGTTTCCGCGAAACATGAGACTAAGTTTCAGTGTTTGCTTCATTCAGTTAGAACGGTGCTCAAGAATGATGACAGGGGTTCATGCTAATATATGGTAAGGCAGCTGCCATTTTAAAAATTAAGTCTTTCCCTGTTGTGTGCTCCGAAAACAGTTGGTTTTCACACTTAACTCACCCTTGTAATTCTTATCTGATTATATATTCCCAGTGAGTAGTGTTACTTGTTATTCTCGTTACTCTTAAATTTCTTATCGATTTGTTTATTTGTCTAACCTTTCATTTTCCTCGTTTACATCGAAACTGAATTGAGAAGCAGATAGTTGTGATTGGTTTATTCGAAATGTTTTTCTGAAGTACATCACTTTTCTCACAGATAAATTCTTGTAATAACGCTATGTACAACTATCTTATTTTCAGTTCTTTGAAATCTCTATGGATTTTCTAATGGTGGAGCTAGTATCATTTTTGTTTACAATTTGGATTTCTCATTCATTCCTCTAGGAAAAAATGTACATTTAATCCATAGTGAATGGTATTAGTTATAGATTTCCAGGTGTGATATCGTCTGTTCAAGTTACTCATAATCTAGTTAATTGTTACCAAGATATGAAGTGTAGGCAAGATTTTTTCTTTCAGTATTTATGGTACTCCAGATGTACTTCAAAACAGAGGACAATGATTGCATTTTATAGTATAATCACCAGTTTAGGGATATTATGATATTCATCACTGGACAATTGTGAATGCATAGACCTAATTTATTTTGTAGTTAATTGTAAGTTTATGCAAAAGTGTTATATGTAAGGTGTTAATTAACGACATGGCGAATAATTCGTCTTTTTGTGAAGTCTCGTCACAGTATTTTATTTCGTCCACTTCATTGTACAGCGTTTCAGATGGTTTATTTTTTCGTTCAAGGTGTTTAATCTTAAAATCCACATAGCTGAACCGACTTATTAATAGGTGTGGCTCATAAGATAAGTACACGGTGTGCAGCTTTCCAATTCGCTTGTTACACCCTTCATAATTTTGTGGTTGAAATTACTAACCAATGAATTCAAATGAGTTTAAGTGTTTTTTAGAACTTTTAAATAGTGAATTCTATTCTTTTTTCTTTTGTCTTTACATTTTTTTAATTTTGTAAAAATTTCTTCTGTGTGATCATTTCCTTTCAAATAGAAATAGAAGATAGCAAGATAAATAAACAAAAGTGATTTTGACCTCATTCAAGTACATGAACTGCACATTTGTTTTGCAGAAATCGGGAGAGGGGTATATACATATATTTTCGTTGTCTAGCTCACAGTTATGGAAGTTTATCTTGAGTAGTATTCTGATATATATATATATATATATATATATATATATTCATTTATTGTTTCAAAGTATGTGATAAGTTAACAGGTGTGTTGCTGTTCACTTTGCTTGAATTAGCCACCAGTTCGATAGATTTGTGGGGTCTATAGTTGCTTTGCTTCGTAGTGGATTCCTAGAAATTCACTTAAGTAGGAATAAACTTGCTAATACACCTTCATACCTATGAGTACTGAACCTAGTCGTTTATCAACTCTGTCTGTTTTGGTTTGCTTTAGAAAATTTGCAAATATATGGTTACTTATTGAACAGTGGTCATCATCCCCTGTCTCTGTATTGATTTGTAGTTTACTGGAGATTTTCTAGGACTTGTCTGCACAGAAATCATCTTCAAATTATTCTTGAAAATCTATCATCAACTATGCGATGCTAAGTCCTCATCCAATCATTCTGTTTTAGAGATACATTAATTAAGCCCTTCAGTATGAAGTTATGAAGGCAAAGTCTTTCTAAGAAATCAGCTGTCACGCTGATGCGGTCCATTTCGACTGTGGACCATTTGGAGATACCTTATTCCCAATATGTACAATGGAATTTACACGTTTCCTTCACAATGTAAAATCTCTTCTCACTGAAAAGACCTGGTAATTTCTCAGCTGTCCAAGTTTAGCTATTCTATGTATAATCTTCAGTGCAGCTGCGCAAGAATACCTCTTCTCGACTGACATTTAACGAACTATTGTTATTTGAATAATTAGCCTGCATTCTTCATAAATATATGCTTCATCGCGAATATATATTCCTCATTCATTAGGATTCCATTTATGTTGAAAAGAAATTACCTCTTTCTTGTTATATTGTACGTATTCATTGAATTAGAAGGTGGGGAGTGTCAATACATATTCTCTCCACTACTATATAAACAGGAATAGTTAGTATCACACATAAAGCGTAATGTTTTTAATCCTGTGCTCCAGCATTTAGAATACTATTCAGGAAACATGAAACTTAATGCTTCAGTGACGAGTAAGAAAGCAAACTGTGGTATTTGTGGAAAAAATAGTGGCGAATATTTGTAGCTCAAAGTGAAAGTATTATGAAGTTTAGTAAATTTTATTTATAGGTCACCAACAGTAACACTTAGACGTGTAATGATATCGAAGGTGGCTGCAGGAATCTGCTGAACACAACTGTTTGTTGTTCTGCGCTCTACATTAGGAGTATGGTACTTCGTCAAGATTAAATATAACATCAGTGCACTACTAACCACCACAAATTTCCTATGTGCTTATTTTGCGCTACGCAGTTTCAAATGCTTTATAAATACAGCCATTCTGATACAGTTTACAGCATTTCCCTCACTAAATCTTAGCCATTACTGCAATCCCCTATGGAATAACTTACGATTTCATTTGTTGGTACTAGGTGAAGCAGTCACCTAGTTAATCGACACGCCTATCTTAAATGATCATAGTGAATTAGTAATTGACAGATGTGCCTGTTAAATCACTTACTTATTTATTCTAATAAACCGCAACTGCAGTGGCGTTCATTCACTTTTGCTGATCAACAACTCATCACTTCCATCGTGTGTATGTGGATTTGTATGAAACAACTTCGTTAAAATACGAATTGTTTTTGTTTCCATCGTTCACCGCGATGAATCATTATGATCATTATTATCATAATACCAAGCATTAGGTTATATGCACCATCGTTGTGTAGCATATTACTGTGGGATTTTTGAGTTTCTCTCTATTTTTCTTTTTCACTCTAAGAATGACCACGTCAGAGGAAAACAAAGTATGCTTACTTTTCTTTTTTTCTTGAACAAAATAATGAAATATATATACCCACCAAATGTTTTTGTTATTGTGTCTATGCCCGTAGGCTTATTCCACACAGAAGTGAATGAAGTGTTGTGTATATATGTGTTTTGATTCACCAGAAAATGTATTATTCTCATTACAGTATCTCATTATTCAATGGGATGCACTATGGGCTAAACAACACCTTGGATACTTTCACACGACATAGAATGCATTACCTTTTTACGCATACATTTTTAGCTAATTCAGTTAATACTATTTTAACACCATTTACGTGTTGAATTTGTCCAATCGAGCCAAGAATATTGCTTACCCAACTTTACCTGAATACAAGATAAAGCGCTTCCGGAGGGTTTAATATTAAAGACCTGAACGTTATGGTTCAGGAGGCTGCGTTAAGTAGAAAACATGGAGCTGGTCACTGTCTGGAGACCTTTGTTAAATTGATCACGTTAGGTGGGTTAGCTACAGTAGGGTTAAATAGGAAAAGTGTTAAAGTTGGTGAGACCAGTGACTAATGTCATGACCACATTTAGGGGTGTATTTCGCCTGCCTGGTTTTCTGGGATAACAAAAATCTATCCTTCACAATCGTGCACCCTTTTTCGAATTATTCCTATCTGTACAAGATTATTCTTTATAGTGACATTACAATTATATTCTTTTCTTTTCGAAGAATGAAAACCTCCACCGGTGAATGTTTATGGAAAGTTCTACGTTCATTATTTAGTCGTTAGTCTGACATAAAATTATTATTCAATATTCGAATGAGATTCAGTGGTAAGATTTTTCATTAAAATACTGGTCAACCTGAATTTCAGTGTTTCAGGATGTCCTTTACCTTCGTTCATGGTTTTCGCTTTCTATCAACCACTACAGAGTTAAGTTACCTTTCCTCAAATAACTAAGTGGGTATATTACAGACATAAGTATTGCCAAAAAACATTTTGTAAATATGTTTATTTGATCATATTTTGTTTGTCGACTGTTTCACAGGAAGCAAAAGGTTTTATCGAACTTTCTAAATTCTCAAAGTATGAATTCCTTTCGTTGTTTATTTTGAAAAAATTGTCTAACTGACTTATTGACCCTGGGTTGTTTGCATTGTGTTTATTCAAGTTAATGAAAGTATTTTATTCACAATACAAAGTGCTGTTGCTTGCTTTTATTTTGTTTCCACTAATGTTTCCCTCAGTTGCCTTCTGTGTCTCTCCCAATTGTGAATTTACCTCTTTTTCAGTACTACATTTCAATGGAATGGAGTCTGTGACGAAAACGGTTAATCTACAGAATGACTGTACACTGGATACTGATGGCGCCGTTGCAAAGGAATATACTTGTCTAACGTCGGATTTAGAAAGTTATGCATTTGAATATGTGACTGTGAATGTGAGAGGCCTTTATAAATTTCATGTCTACGGTGTACCGTGTGAGTTTTTATCTCGGTTTTCGTTTAATATACTTTTGTTAAATAGAAGAATCATACAACTTTTGATATGTTTAGTTCGCTTGAGATTAACTAAAGTTGGAGACAGTACTTGGTATTCATTATAAATAGTTGTTTCCAGCAGCAATTTATCTGTTACCCCTTTCGATTTACAGGGAGATACTCTGTTTCAGTCCATTATCAATGTCTTAAATCTGCTAAACGTACGTATTTACTTCTCCTATTCGAAGTCTTCCTTTGTAGCAGAAATTTTAACGAAATTAGAATGTGTTAGACCACCACACTTCCACGTGTATTTAATACACACAGCGAAAACTGAAGATCACAATTGAGGCTAGTAAACAGATTCAGATCAAATGATGAAATATTATAAGCTGTTGTAGCCCATATTTCCGTGGAGATTTAATTTCCCCCTGAGCCTATGCTACGTGTTCCTGTGAAGAGTTCCAGTTACTTACTAGCCTAAATGGGAATCAAAATTCCTAGTGTATTTTATTTGACTGCGGTTAAATCCATTTTTTATGAGGACCTCTTAAAAGCCCACTGGTGGCACAGCAATCACTAGAGACGTCAGTATCCCCATCACTACTTAATATACGGTAGGCTAAAATAAGATCACCTCTCCTTCAAGGTATGATAATGAGAAGACTTGTTTCATCGAGAAATCTACACTGTTTACAAGATTTATGCTTCATACTTGAAGCCTGGGCTAGCTACGGATATTCAGCATTCAACTTAGGGTCTAATATATGTACTTTTAAAAGACTTTCGACGCCCTCATTTATGACAACATTTGGGCAAAGTGTGGAATGAAATTAATTGGATGATCTCGTGTATCACACACGTCTTAAGTGGAAAGTGAAGTAAAAGTATCCTATTCTAAGCTTTATCGTATGACTGTTCACTGTTTATTCTAGACCTTTACTGGCCATGATGCTGACTACCACGTATTTGCTTATTTTACTGTTAAATCACATGCCAAAAGTGACTGTTTCTTACTAATTTTTCAAAGGTTCTACAAACTTTTCCCATACGTATTCGAGGTTGTGTGTGTACCAAGAAGTCGTGCACATGCAGTTAGTCTCCTCTCATGTGGTCTTTATGAGTTTTCATGCCAGTAGGTCAGTAATGTCTGACTCTACCTCTTTGAAGTGTCATTTTTCTTCTTAAATGTCTGATGTGAATGACTGTCATCTCCCAAAAGCCGTTGAAATATTACTAATAATTGCATACAGAAGGGAAATAGAGACAGACTGATAAAATTGTGAACAAAAAATAAGTTATCAGTTTGAATTCAAACATAGCAACCAAAGATATTTTTGTTGCCTATATAAACTCATACCACTTAGCTAGCTGCAATTATCCATGTGAACAAAAACTACAAACCCCTTTGTGAGGACCTTTCATTAGTCGTCCTCGCCACTTGGTTTTCCAGTAATAGCTTTAAAGTCAATATATCTTCTTCAAAAGACAAATAGCATCACAGGTCATCACAAAACTAGTGTTCCGCATGCATCAGTGCACTGCTAATGTAGTCGCTTTCATATTTTCTGACCGTACAACCTATGTTTTCACCACATCTGCAAAAGTAATTTCCGTCTCACAGTAATTCTTTGAATAAATTAGCAGATGATATTTTCATCCTTTAGTATCGGATTTCCCTCATTTTTGTGATTTTCTATATTGACTGTCAGTAAGTATTCGGATTATCTCGGTAATTCTGAGTGAATAATTTAATGCAATCGTTAGGACATTGAACACAATAAATTTAAAGTAGATTGCTACTTCTGTGGATATTTAAGTGGGCTGTCTTGAGTATTCTTGTTCTGGTATATTTATTTAACTTTAAAGAAGTAAATAATAATGAAAACATACCGTTGACTACCTTCCATTAACATGATAGGTAGGAGATACTTGCGGTAATTCAAGTAAAACAAAATATTTACCCAACGCTTAACTCTTTCACTTCAATCATTTAAGCGTTTCAGGACGGCGAACTGGAGGTTGCTGACCTGAATCCTGTCATCATTCAGATGTTCATACCCTCACTTGCATGAAAGTGATTCTTTGAATTGCCAGTTTAAAACAGTGACAGTGATACGATATATTGGTTGCTCGTACATTGAATATTGACCAGTGATATCAATAAATATAATACTAAATGCAGGCAAAGGCAGTCGAAGACATTACCCTATACATGTGTTTAAACTATACATCTTATCCAATAAATATTTAAATTCATTTCACTGTAGGAGACCTATGTGCATACAAAGTAGAACTGTGGATAAAAGCTAGTACAGTACATTAAATCAGAGTATTAAATAAAACCTGTTTAGTGAAAAGATTAATTAATTTTTAATATACAGAAATTTGTCCTTTTTAAGGTACTTATCAAATTTTCTGGGATTTTTGTTTAGAATCATATTTAAGTAATCAACTAACAGACTTGACTCTATGGGAGATTATTGTTAAAAATGTATTTATTACCCCTTTAGTGAAAAATTCGACTAGAGAAACACTGTCAGTTAATTATTAGGGAAAAAGTGATGAACAAAGTTGACTCGAATACCCGTGTTACCAATATATATTCTTTGAATCGAAATGAAGTGATACTATTAAGATTCGTTAGTTTGTTTCTTCCGGTAATTGAAACAAATGTGTAGTAGTAGCCCCCAGCATTGATTAAGGGCTATACAGTTCATGCATTACAGCTGCATATCACTAACTTGTTGAGTACTTAGTTGTCGAATGTTGATCCACTTAATTTTGTGGCTATACCACAAAGTGTCTTGCATATATATTTGGGTTAGCGCAGCAGTTTAAACACGAATTTGTTTATATGAACTGATAATTAGACCGAGTTACGAAACATCCTACATCATGAAAATACACTAATCAGTGCTTTAAGCCTAGTAAATACACAGTATTAGGAATTCATCTGCTACAGTTTGCTGTGTTGCGATTAACCCTACCATCGCTGACAAATAATCGTATCACGGTAGATTTTATTATATCTGTTTATGTTTCATGCTGGGTAAAGTTAATTGGCGTGTAAAGGTGCAGGCAAACGTAACAATAATCCATTCCACTAAATTCATTTGGCTAACGACATTTCAGTTAACACCTAAATCAGACTACTGACATTTATGTTGTTTTGATGGCAAAAACAAGTGTTTAAAGGTAAGTGTAATCCGTAATCCTAGGGATTGAGATTAACTATGTCTGATCAAATATCATAGTTGAATTTTATATTGGAACAACAGTCAGAGTTGTGTACTATTTAGGGATTGTAAGACATATTGGGTACAGCTGTCCACCACTGCATATATTAACTGATTTTTCAGAGTAAGTTTCTGATTGAATCAGCAGATTGCATGTGAAAACTATATTTCATAGTTTTTTCTCCGCTAGTTACACGAGAACACGCTAATACAAATATAATTTTTAAAAAGTAAAGGTCATTTGAATGACCTGAATTTACAGTTTAGTACTTACACGGAAATTATACTTTGTTTAAATTAAGAAAACTTCATATTACAACGTTGTGTGTATGTGTGTGTTAGTGTGTTTTCATGTTAATGTTTAGATTGCGTGTCTGAATTGCTTGTGTGCTTGTGTGTGATTGTAGTTACTTATGTGATGCACTAAACAGTGTGAACAACCCGGATAGTACTATGAAATTATTTATATAATGTTTCACAAAGATGATGAATTCACTCCATTTTTTCCGTGACTATCTGTGTTTGCCTGTGTTGTCGTGACTGTCATTTTCTCTACTAATACCATAACAAATAACCGCATTATTATTAATATAATTATTTTTGTCATCATTATAATACTTGTAAGCGCTAAGCCTTCATTCATAGATGGTAAAAGTATCTTCCATAAGAGGTTAGCACCTATTTTAATACCGAATATCGTAAAAGCATGATGAAACTTGTTTCTATTTACTCAGCATTCTTTCTTAACATGTGTGGACATGTACACATGAAATGCATTTTAAGATGCAGGAACACCTTATAAGCATATTGTGTTGTTCTAAATGGTACCTGTGTGAAACTCATTTTTACCTTTACACGCCTTTTTCTGAAAGGTAATCAGTTTTGTCTTTGCATTTAGTCAATAATTTAGTAAACAAAACACTAATTATCAAGACGTGAAAGTATGTGATGCAGCTGAATAAATAAATTCGTAAAAATGAAAAATAGAATCCACTGCTCACATTTCGCTGCATCAGTTGCATACAAAGGAATTTTTTGAGGGGATGTGTGTGTGCTTTCATCGATAAGTAAATCTCAGTTGAGTTAAAAAATGATTTATGTCCATCAAGATTAGACTCGTAAATCAGTTTTAGGCATAATAAAGTTTGGAAGAGAGTAAGCACTGTTTGCTCATTCAGCGAACAAAGTATGTTGTGGTTGTAATAAATAATAATAATAATTTTTCCTTCACGTTCCCAGTGGAACATAGGGCTTCTAGCTAGTGGCTTGAAGTTTCTGTAGCAGTGTTTACTTTTACAGGATGGGATTGCTAGCCTCATGCCCAACCTCTCCTCTTTACCAGGTTTTATTACTGGCTTAGTGAGGTAAAGGAGTGAGTCGGCTGGGGATCGAACCTCGGACCATGTGCATGGTCGGCGAGCGTCCTAACCGCTGCGCCACCGACTCACAAAGACTGTAGTGAATATGATAGAGAAGATTTGTAGCTCAGGTGGATGATTTTGATGTGGTTTTGTTCTCTGAGCTGGATGGTTAATTTGCGAAGCTTTCATCACCCTTGTGGCTGTAAGTAAAGATAATCAGCAAAATGCCCAAGCGTGGTAGCCACTTTTCCGCTAAAAAATCAGTAGCAGTCTGACAACTCCAGGCTACCCTAGACAGTCTTTCCATCGGTTACCAGCATGTTCCTATCCTTATAATTCACCTCAGCCAGGCATCTGTTCTGGGCATAAGCAATAAGTTATGTGCAACTTATCCACAATA